CCCCAAAACCCCAAAACCCCAAAACCCCAAAACCCCAAAACCCCAAAACCCCAAAATTTAGCCAAAGTGTTGAATTTTTTGAATAATAATTAACATCCCTCAGATTTAATATGGGCAAGCAAAGCCTTTGCTTTGGGAAAGACAGAGTTCATTTCGTTCTCGGCTTCACTTGGGTTTACTCCATCTATCACATGTTGAGGAATACTTGTGGCAAATTCTTTGTACAGGTCAAAAACTCTTTGATCATCATCACTTGCTTTAGAAAAGACTTCGCAAAACTTTTCCAGTGAGACAAGAAGTTTTACTAAGATTCTTCTGTTGCTTGCAAAAGTAGATCAGTTATCGATCAAGAATGACCCTAGATCACCGCTGGTAGCTTTTATGATCTCAATAATTGTCTCTGAAGGTATTCTAGTCAGAAGAATGTAGGCAGCTTCCACTATCATTGAAAGGATCCTTCCTTGAAACTCAGAGTAGTTATTAACAAGGACCATTAGATGAGGACTTAATTCGACTATATTCTCTTTGCTGTCAATAATATTCAAACTAAGTAGCCTGATGTACTTAATTTTCACATCGTCAGAATGATCACGAAAGACCTCTTCCTGTTTGGCTAGCATTCCGCTCTGAACAGAGCCATCATCTTCGGCCTCTTTTTCCTCTATCTCAGATAAAATATTAGTGATTGTTGAACAAAGGTTTGATTGAGAAGGATCATCCATGTCCAGATTGGTCTTAATTGTCTCTAAGTATCCCTTTAGCTGGTACTTAATGAGTATATTATTCTCAAACCCTTCTGATATTAGGGACTCGATTCCATGTATTCAGTTCTGCTGGATGTTAAATTTACTTATAATACTCAGAGAATTTGTCAAGTCTTCAAGAAGTTGATTAACTTCCTCAGCAGTGAAACTATCATGACTGGAAATGACAATTCTACCAAATTGAATGATTTGGGCTTGTAAGTCAGAGTCAACTGGAACCCTCTTAAGAATTCCAATTAAGGATACAAATCTCCCTGTTTGGAGCATGAATTCAATGTATCTTTCATTTAGTTTGCAAATATTAAGCAGCATTTGGAAAGATACAGTTTTTAATTGTTCGTCATTACAGAATCAATTATTAATAACAAGGGGCAAAAATCCTTCCATTAGAAGCATCTCAAGAGCTCATTCGTTGCTTTTGAACAAGGTTGAGAAAGAATTAGTAATTTCTACCTTTACAGTCGGATCTTCGGAATTTTGAATTAAATTCATTAGCAAATTTACCAGGTTCCAATCAATCATTTTGTCAAGAGGAGCATCTTTCATTTGTAATAGCTGTCAGGATCCGATGAGACTGATCAGAACTAATTTTTCCTCTTCTGTAGTATACAGAATACAAAGATCCTTACAAGGAATCCCTGTGAGATCAGAATTCGACAGGCAAGTTACTATATTTTGAACTCCTTCTAAAGAGCCTATCTTCTTAATCACCTCTTGGGTGTTTCTACCAAACGGGGACTCTTCAACACTGAGCCCTGCTAACTTCTCAGTAAGGTCTGCCTCAGGATTATCTGGGTTTTCTTCTAATTTCAGGTCATTTAGCTGATTCATAATTGCTTCTAAGTCATCCATTTTTATTTTATAACAATTCGGAAATTGTCAGTTTTATAGTAGATGCCTGGGGTTTTGGGGTTTTGGGGTTTTGGGGTTTTGGGGTTTTGGGGTTTTGGGG